CTGGCTGGGTGAGAACAGGCCTCCTCCGGCTACCTGCTGGGACACATGGGAAGACGCCTGCCTGCCCATGTGCTGCCCTGAGCTGCACCAGGCCCAAGTCATGGGGAAGCCAGCCTGTGAGCTCTGAATTTGGGTCCTGATGCTGGGCCAGGGGCGTTATCCCTTCCTAGAGAAAGCTGGAATGCTGAGGTTGGGGTTGTCATGGCAACCAGGCCATCAGTCGCCTGGCTCAGCACCGTCAGGCGTGTCGGACGTCCAGGACTTCCCACACAGGGGTCCCCATGACAGAGTAAATAGGCCACAACCCTGCTAGACCATCCCCAGGGCAAACAGACGCAACCCGCTGGGCTGTGGGGTCAACGTTAGACACACTCTTCAAGAATGGAATATCATCAGAAGAAATGAGGGGCAGACACTCTGGAAGAGGAACTTAATACAAGAATCACTGCACATCCTTGGTTATTTCCTGGTGAGAAAAAACATTTTGAGAACAACTCCGGGGAAATTTGAACATGAACTTGTATGAAGATGTCCTTGACCTAAATTGGTTTCCTGTAACCATGGTGATATGATTACGGAGATAAACGTCACCTGGTAATGCAGGCTGGCGTGTTTGCGGACACAATGCCAGGTTGCCCATAGTTTATTTTTCCCTTTGAGACAGGGTCTTGCTCTGTCGCCCAGGCTGGAGTGCAGTGGTACAATCATGGCTTACTGAAGCCTTAACATCCTGGGCTCAAGTGATCTTCCCACCTCAGCCTCCTGAGTAGCTGGGGCTACAGGCCCGTGCCACCATGCCTGGCTAATTGTTGTATTTTTTAGAGATGGGGTCTCACCATGTTGCTCAAGGTGGTCTTGAATTCCTGGACTCAAGGGATCCACCTGCCTTAGCCTCCCAAAGTGCTGGGATTACAGGCGTGAGCCACCATGCCAGGCCCATAATTTGAGAGGGTTCAGTCAAAAAGAATAGGTCAAGAAAACACACAGCAAAACGTTAACCTGGGCCCATTCTGGATACTGGGCGGTGGGTGTCTGCTACACTCTTCTCTTCTGTGTATTCAGAAACACAGGCTGCAAGAAAAGCTGTGGTCAGGGGTCTGGGGGGCTTCTCCTGAGATTTGGGCTCTGGGGGTCTTCTCCTGAGGTCTGGGGGGCTTCTGAGTTCAGGGGTCTGGGGGATTTGGGGGGGGTCTTCTCTTGAGATCGGACGTCTGGGGTTCTTCTCCTGAGGCCGGGCGTCTGGGGGGCTTCTCTTGAGGTCATGGGGTCTGGAGGTCTTCTCCTGAGGTTGAGGGGTCTGGGGGGCTTCTCTTGAGGTCAGGGGGTCTGGGGGTCTTCTCTTGAGGTTAAGGGGTCTGGAGGTCTTCTCTTGAGGTCGAGGGGTCTGGGGGTCTTGGGGTCTTCTCTTGAGGGTTGAGGGATCTGGGGGTCTTCTCCTAAGGTCGGGGGTCTGGGGATCTTCTCCTGAGGTCTGGGGGTCTTGGGGTCTGCTCCTGAGGGTTGAGGGGTCTGGGGAGCTTCTCCAGTGTGGACCTTAAGGATGCCCAACAAAAACCAAACCAAACCAAACCCTTTGGATTTGTGGTTCTTCAACTAGATTCAGCTTGGCAAATGTCTACCAAGGGCCATCCTGTTGCAGGCAGAGTTAAATGCAGCAGGGCTTTGGACCAGCACTTCTCCACCGTGTGTGTGTGTCTCAGGGTCTCCGGGAAGTTGGTGAAATGTGGGGGTTGACTCAGGGGCCTGGGCAGCCTCCTGCATTTCTAGCCAGCTGTGAGTCATGTCCTGCTGCTCCAGGACCACACTGCAAGGGGCAGAGTGCAGCCCTTTGGGAGCCAGTGTGGTTGGGGGTGGGGGTTGGAGGCTCTGCACTCCTGTAGACCTGGGGTGGGATCCCTGCTTGGCCGCGGATGAGCTAGGAGACCCGGGCAAAGGGCCTAACTTCTCTAAGCCTCAGCTTCACTATGAACAGGGACCCATCAGAATTCACTGTGAGGTCTGGATACAGGGACATCTGCAAATGCACAGAGCCCAGGGAAGAAAAGGGTCCCTGGGAAAAGCCCATACATCCCCAGGACGCCCAGAACCTATGCAGGGCCAAAATGGTGAAACCCCATCTCTATCAAAAATATAAAAAAATTTAGCTGGGCATGGTGGTAGGTGCCTGTACTCCCAGCTACTCGGGAGGCTGAGGCAGGAGAACTGCTTGAACCCGGGAGGTGGAGATTGCAGTGAGCCGAGATTGTGCCACTGCACTCCAGCCTGGCGACAGAGTGAGATTCCGTCTCAAAAAAAAAAAAAAAAGATAGTATGATCACAGTGTTTCATCAAATAATACCAATAGATATTACTTTTAAAAGGAACCAAATAGAGATACTGATGTTAAAAAGCACAGTAACTGAAATCAAATGTCACTCAAGAGTGACATTCCTCTCCATTGCTCAGTTATGGTGGGAGATGATCTGATGAGGGACCGAGGACAGGCAGGCGCCAGAGGCCAGGGAGGGCTGCTGTGGGTGCCACGGGGATGGCACCTTGTAAAAGGAAACATGGACATCCTCTGCCAGCCCAGTCTCTCAGGAACCTCACAGACACCCTCCCACCAGTGGGGACAGGCAAAACATAATCCAGAATCCATAGTGGAAAGAGTCCACGTTCATGACATGTCTAGAAAGCGCTGGTGGGAGGGGAGCAGGGCTGACTGCTCAGTGGGTACAGGCCTTCTGTTGGGGTGACGAAAATGCCTGAAGTAGATGGAGTGGTCTCACAACACTGTGACTACACTAAATGCCACTGAACTGTACACTTTAAAAAATGATTATGCCGCTGGGCGTAGTGGCTCACACCTGTAATCCCAGCACTTTGGGAGGCCAAGGTGGGTGGATCACTTGAGGCCAGGAGTTCGAGACCAGCCTGGGCCAACATGGCAAAACCCCATCTCTACTAAAAATACAAACATTAGCTAGGTGCAGTGGCACATGCCTGCGATCCCAGGTTCTTGGGAGGCTGAGGCACAAGAATTGCTTGAACCAGGGAGGTGGAGGTTGCAATGAGCTGAGTTCACACCATGGCACTCCAGCCTGCCTC